CGCGCTCCGACCTTCTGCTCAGGGCGGGGCCCGAATTTTCACGCGCGCCGCGCTCCCCCTCCACCGCCCCCCTCGTCCGACCCCCAAGCAAACCGAGGTGCCACAAAGCACCTCGGGGCAAGATGTGCGCTCCCTTGTGTGGAAGGCAGGTGCAGGCATCATGTCCGTGTGTGCCTTCGGTGTTTTGGTCGCCCAGGCCGGCTTATCGGCGCGCCTTTTTTTTCACCCCACTCTCGCGTCTATCGGCTAGACGTAAGAGTGACCTTTCGCCGGAGCGACCTTTGGTGCGGGCATAGGTGGGTCCCCAGATGGTTGAAAACAAAGCAGGAGCAGCGGCCTGCGCGCCCAGGTTTGGCCCCCCCGCGGCCCCCAAAAGCCGCGAACCAAAGGTCACTCTTACCCGGGGTCACTCCTGCGTGCAGCCGAGCCTCATGCCGCCCCCGCTCTTCTCAGCCTTGCTCACCAGACTGCGGCTGCATGACTGCGCTGGCGCCTGGCTCGCAGGGGTCAGGGCGCCGCTGGCCACAGCAGTGGGCGCCCTTGCGCGCGCGTTGGGCCACCTGGCGCGACGCGCGCCCCCCCCCCCAAAAAAACGTCCCTTCGCCGTTTTTGCATTCCTTCCCCTCGAGGCATGCGCCGACCGCCGACCATCGGGTTTTTTCTTGCCGTATTGGCTAATGTTTTCCGATTCCATCTAGCACTTTGTGTTACAGGCCTCGGAACAAATTAGCGAACACATGCCACATTCATCCGTCAACGCCTCCCCCTACCCCCAATGTTCAAAGTTGGCGGTGGGTCTGATGAGATGCACTTCGACCGCAGTCTCCCGCGCGCGTGCCAACATTGAGTTTTGGGGGGAGGGGGAGTGTTCAGTAATTGTTTCCCTCTACCGTAGTTATTGAGGCGCGCTGACGCTATTCGACTCCCTCCACCCTGCCCCGCCCGCTGTCCCCCGCCCCCTCCCGACGAGGCCGCAGCTCCCGCAACGACACCGCCCTCGCACGTCGGGCTGGCGCCCGCGAGCTGCGCAAGGGAAGCCCACAATGATGCTCTTTGACATCGCGGCTGCGTTCCCATCGATGGGCGTGCCGTCGCTTTCCGCGGCGCTTCAGCAAGTTCGTCACGAGTTCGGTTTCCTCGACGCGTCGCTGCCCTCCAAGACCAGCCCGTGGGCGTCGCCACTCTTCGCGGCAAGTGCTTCTTCGTCTGTCTGGCATCGCGCAGGGGCGCGGCCTGGGCCATCGCGATGGGCACCGCCATTAGAGACATCCACGCCGCGCTCCCCACCGCGGACGAGGGCGTCGCCGCCGCCTGCGCCGACGACCCGGGCGTGCACCTCCAGCGCCTGGCCCTCATCGCTCCGCTCGCCGATGTGTTTCGCAGCGCGGATCTCCATGACAATCTACGCCCAAACGCGAAAAAATGCATGCTCGTGCCGTTGTGCGTTGGGCTTGCGGACGAGCTCAAGTCAGACGTCGCGCCCCCTCTCATCAACTACCTCCCTGAGGAGCCCAATTTCAGATCGCCGCGGAGGGCGTCTACCTTGGCGCCCATGTCATCCCTGACGCGGACAACCTGGCGCAGCGGGCCGCGGTGGTCTCCAAATGCTGGCAGCACGCGTTGGCCTTTGGGTGGGGGGGCTACTGCCCTGGTCGTCGCCAGCATTCGCCTTTCGGCATATCGCCGCGCTCGGCTACTCGGCCCAGTTCCTTGGCATCCCCAAGCAGATCCGTCGCGAAGAGTTCCACGTCGTTCAAGGAAGTGCTCTGGGCGCCGCCCAGTTTTTTACGACTGGTTGTCATTCGCTCGCTCTGCAACTGGCTTCTGGGACCTCGCCCCGACCGCGGCTCGCATGCTGTATCAGCTTGATGTGGCGAGCCCCGTCGTGCACTGTGACGCAGTGGACGGAGCCCTACCAGCAGTTCCACGCGTTGCGGGGCCGCGGCTGCGGGCTGGGCGACCTCGCCGCAAAGAGGTGGTCCCCGCCATTCTTGAAAGCACCCGGGGCCATCGTCCAGCGCTTCCACGCCATCGTCATCGGCACGCCCGAGCGCTTCCACGACGCGGCTTTCGCGAGCGCCCGAGCGCGCCGCAGCCATCGCCAAGCGCGCGGTGAAGGATGCGCCGGAGAGCGGCCCCAGGCCGAAGCCGCAGCGCCACTTCACCAGCGCGCTGAGCTCCCACTGGATGCAGGACAGCTGCGAGGCGACACTGAGGCAGCTCGAGGCGTGGTTCGGCCCCGCCTCCGCGCCGATCCGCCTGCGGGCGCGCCGGCTGGCGCTCGAGAAGGCGCCCGTCGCACTGCCTCCGCCGTGGCGCTGGGCGGTTCGCCGCGCGCCCGCGGGAGGCTGCCGCGCGAGCTCGAGGCTGCGCGCGGCGCCCGAGGTCGACGGCTACGAGTTCGGCTGCCTCGGGGAGGAGGACCGCATCAGCCGCCATCTGCAGCGCGGCGGGCTCGTTCACTCGACTTGCCTCCCGCGCCCTCCTGCCCAGACCGACGTGCTGGACCGCGTCGGCCTCGGCGCCGACTGCCCGGAGGGCGGAGAGGTCTCGCTGTCGATGACTGTCCAGCGCCTCGTCTCGGGCTACTACCTGTACGTGCCTTGAGGTGAAGGCCCTCGGGAGTGACTGCACCTGCGACATGCAACCGCAGGCCCCTTTCCGCAGCCCCGGCCAGCACGGTCGCCACGAGACTCCACGAAGCGCGAGCTGGCCCGAGAGGGCCAGCGGCGGTCGAGCGCTTTCCAGCGCCGAGGAGCGGACGTCCGCCTCCAGCTCCACCCCTGCTCATCCTCTTCCTCCTCCTCCCCCTCCCTCTTCGGTCCTCCTCCTTCTCCTCCTGCTCCTCCCCCTCCCCCCCGTGGAAGGTGGCGGGGAACGGCGAGTGGTGGCGGCAAGCGGCGAGAGGCGGCGGCGGCGGCGCGTAAGGCGGTGGCGTCCAGCCGTGCACCCCGGTGCTGGCCACTTGGGCGCTGGCGTGGCGGCAAGACGTTTTCGCGTCGTAAAAAAAACGCGACTCAATACGTTTGCCACTTTCGATTTACCGAAGCCTTGGCGGTGATTTCCCGCAAGGGGTTCAAATTTCAAAGGAGCTACGTTGTGAACAAAAATCGTAGGATGTCTGGGGGGAAGAGGGAGGATATTGTCGTCATCGCGACGAGAAGGCCCTCGAAGATGTGAAATGAGACAAGAATCCGGGGGGGTCTTGTGTGCTCCAGTGCTTTCAGGCTTTAGGGCCACACCTAGGGGTCGCAGAAATGGCCCCCGACACTCCAGGAGCGGGGAGGGATGGGATCGCCGTCGCTGCGTTGGGTGACGGCGACGAGTGGGGGGAGGTGGACGAGGGAGGGGAGGTGCTCGGAGGTTTGAAGAGTTCACTGGGGGATGGGGTTGGTGGGGGTCACGGGTTTTCGCCATCTGGGTCAGATCAGGCGTAGCAGAAGGCTGGCGGAGGACAACGACGACGATGAGGGCGACGACGACCGCAGACGCAGGGGGAAAGGAGGTCCTTCCTGGCTCTCCTCTCCCTGGAGCTGGCCCTCGTCGTCGCCGTCCCCCCCCTCACGGCGACAGGGTTGCAGGGCACGGGCACCTCCTCGTCGCCCTCCCCCCTCTCCTCGCAGCTCCCGCGTCGCGCGCCGCGAGCTCCCGCGCCGCGTGCCCCGCAGGACCAGCTTAACGAGGGTTCCTCCCGCGTCAACCACGCCTACGTGGGGCTCCCCGGTCAAGTTGCGACAATCAGTCTGGGGAGGAAGCTGTACTGTAGGTTCGCGACGTGCCGACCAGCGGCGATCCCGCCGCCCGCATTCAACGTTGAACGCCGCCGGCGACTTAGAATCGGTCGATGTGGAACGATCTGACGTTTCGGACACGGCCGATCTGTCATGGTTGAACGATCCCGACGGTGTCAGGATCCAAGGCCGGAGTCGGCACGACACGAGCCTGCTGTGCCGATACGGCTGCTCGTCATGGGGAGCCCTCGTCGCCAAGGCCGGATTCTCCTGGGAGTCCTGGTCGGAAGACACCCCAGAAGAGGTCTTGGGAATAGCGCTATCGGTACCTAATTGTGACCCCCCATCGTGCGGGAATGTCAAGACACGTCGATACACTCATGTGTTGCCGGTATTGGGCGAAAGATTCGTCACCTGCGGGGGCCTCCAGAGCCAGACATGTCCACTGGCGAGGTACCCCACGAGGTTATGATAGACAAGGCCGCAATGAGACGCTTCCACCATTATGGAGAGTCGTGATGCCGCTCTCGTGGTCCCGTGGAGAACCGGGACTTCTTCCACAAGCTCGAGCTCGACGAGAGCTTCAACACGGCGGCACTGATGCCCTGATTTGTCCCTCTGCGGGCGAAGCTGTGACTCAGGAGTCAACCTGGCAAAATGGATGTGCCGCGCTCCAGAAATGTGTTTGCCTCCGGGGAGTCTCGCCCTTCGCGGACGCCAGCGGAAGTATGACGGTGGCGCGTCAGCAGGCGGAAGACGGCGGAAGTAAATGATTCTGGCGAAGAGCCCAACCATTTGCAGTTGTGAGTATCGCCGTTGTGGGTATCGCCTTCGGTGGATCTCCTTACGGGGCCACGAAGCTTGCAACATGCGGGCGCAGCCATTGGGGCCTTCGGTGGCGCTCCATATGGAGCCACGAAACGTGTGTGGGGTGTGCCGAAATGGAGCGGGGCCGCCATGCGAACGTCGCCACTGGGGCCTTCGGTGGAGCTCCCCATGGGGCCACGAAGCGCTGTACTGAGTGGGGGAAACGTATGCGAACACCGCCACTGGGACCTTCGGTGGAGCTCCATATGGGCCATGGAACGCTGTACTGCGTGTGGGAAACGCATGCGAACACCGCCACTGGGGCCTTCGGTGGAGCTCCGGCTGTACTGGGCGGGGGAGACGCATGCGAACACCGCCACTGGGGCCTTCGGTGGAGCTCCCCATGGGGCCACTGAACGCTGTACTGGGCAAGGGAAACGCATGCGGACAGCCGCTGGGGCCTTCGGTGCAGCTCCTCATGGGGCCACGAAGCATTGTACTGGGCGGGCAAACGCATGCGGACACCGCCACTGGGGCCTTTGGTGGAGCTCCATATGGGGCCACGAAACGTGTGAGGGGTGATTTATGCCACTGGGGCCTTCGGTGGAGCTCCCTATGGGGCCACGAGGCGTGTGAGGGTGTGTCAAATGGAGGGGTGCGGCATGCGAACCATGAGCTTGGGGCCCTCAGTGGAGCTCCCTCCAGTGGCACGGAAGGTGTGAGGTGTGTGCCAAAGTGGACGGGGGGCGGCATGCGAACCATGAGTTTGGGGCCCTCAGCGGAGCTCCCTACGCGGCCTTCGGTTGAGCTCCTTGTCGGGCCACGAAACGTGTGAGGGGTGTCCCAAAGTGATGGGGGTGACGGGAGGAGGGGGAGGGGGAGGAGGAGGAGAAGAGGAGAAGGAGACGCGTGGACTGTTTCTTCAAAACGAGGAACCAACTCCGCAGGATTGTTGATCACATTGTCTCCTAAAAGGTCCGATGTGTTTTCGATTCTGGGTTGGTGGAACGAGCCACGTGTCATCACGTCCACCCCACTCCTCCTTTTCCTCCTCTCCCTCCTCCTCCTCGCGCTCCTCCTTTTCCTCCTGCTCCTCCTACTCCTACTCCTACTACTACTACTACGACTAAAACAACGACTACCACTACTACTACTACTACTACTACTACTACTACTACTACTACTACTACTACTACTACTACGACTACGACTACGACTACGACTACTACTACTACTACTACTACTGCTACTACTACTACTACGACTACTATTATTATTACTACCACTACTACTACGACTACTATTATTACTACTACTACTATTACTATTACGACTACTATTCTTCTTCTTCTTACTACTACTACTACTACTATTACTACTACTACTACTACCACTACTCCTACTACTACTACTCCTACTACTACTACTACTACTATTACTACTACTACCACTACTACTACGACCACCACTACTACTACTACTACTACGACTACTACTACTACTACTACTACTACTACTACTACTTTTTACGGGTACTACTACCCTCTGATCGTACGGCGACTATTCTTATTATTTCGACTACGATTACGGCTACGATTTAGTAGTATGAATATTGTCAGTACTATTTGTGTTGTTACTGCTACTGCTACGACTACGACTACGACTACGACTACTACTACCACTACTACTACTACTACTACTACTACTTCTACTACTACTACTACTACTACTACTACTACTATCACTACCACTACCACCGCGACTTCTATTACTACATTTACTACTGCTACTCCCACTACTACTACTACTAGAACGACTACTCCTATGTACGATTTCTCCTATGACTATGAATTTTAGTACTACCTACTATCACGAATACTACTATTAATACTATGGGGACTACATCTTTTACTACGACTACGATCACGATTACGACTATTATTATGACCTTTGGAATTACTACTACTACTACGACTACTACTACTACCACTACTACTACTACTACTACTACTACTACTACTACTACGACTGCTACTACTACTACGACTACTACTACTACTACTACTACCACTACCACTACTACTACTACTACAAGTTCTACGACGACTACTACTACTACGACCACTACTACTACTACTACTACTACTACTACTACTACTACTACTACTACTAGTAGTAGTAGTAGTAGTAGTAGTACTACTACTGATACTACTACTATTAGTGCAACTAGGACAACTACTACTACGACTACTACGACTACGACGACGACTACTACTACTACTACTGTTACTGCTACTGCTACTGCTGCTGCTACTGCTACCACCACTACTACTACTACTACTACTACTACTACTACTACTACTACTACTACCACTGCTACTACCACGACTACTACTAGTACGACTACTCCTAATCGACTACTACTGCTGCTACTACTACCACTACGACTACTATTACTACTACTACTACTACTACTACTACTACTACTGCTGCTACTACTACTACTACTACTACTCTACTACTACTACACCGACTACTACTACCACTACTTCTACTACTACTACTACTACTACTACTACTACTGCTACTACTGCTACTACTACTACTACCACTTCTGCTACTACTACTACTACTACTACGACTGCTACTACAACTACTACTAACGATTAGTACTACTATCACTACTACTACTACTACTACTACTACTACTCTACTACTCCTACTACTACTACTACTACTACTATTAACTACTACTACGATTACTACGACGACCACTACTACTACTACTACTACTACACTACTACTACTACTACTACGACTACTACTACTACTACTATCACTACTACTACTACTATTACTACTACTACTACTACTACTACTACTACTAACTACGAACTTACGTCTATTACTACTACTATTACTCTAGTACTACTACTACTACTACTACTACGACTACTATTACTACTACTACTACTACTACTACTACTTTACTAACTACTACTACTTCTACTTCTACTAACCACTACGACGAACGACGACGACTACGACTAGACTACTACTACTACTAATACTACTACTACTACTACTACTAATACTACTAATACTACTACTACTACTACTACTACTACTACTACTACTACTACTACTTCTACTTCTACTACTACTACGACCGACGACGACGACGACGACGACGACGACGACGACGACGACGACGACTACTACTACTACTCCTACTCCCACTCCTACTCCTACTCCTACTCCTACTTCTACTCCTACAACTTCTACTTAGGCGCCTCATCCTCCTCCTCCTTCTCCTCTGTCCTCGTCCCCCACCCGCATTCCTTCCCCTCCTGCCCCTGTGGACGGAACGGTGGCGACGCTGACGAGGCCGCCCCTTCCACCCCCCCGCCGATATCGCCCCAGATTCGCGGGGGAGCAGATGGCCGGCGCAGTCCTGTTGGAGGAGCACGTCGCCGAGGCCGCGCGGCGCGCGCTCGGGGGCGGGGGTCGGACGGAGCCAGAACCACGGGCGGATCCATGGGCGGCCGGTGGTTACCGATGCCACTACCGTTGCCTCATGTTCGCCGTTTCGTGCTTCTTGGGAGGCCCTCGTCGCCACCGCCGGTTTCGCCCCAAGACTTTGGTCAGAGCGCACCCCCGGAAAGATTTGAGGATGAACGGACGTTGCTAGGACAAGGACAAATCCGTTCCAGAGCGTTTCTGAACGCTTTCAGAGCGTTGTGGAACGCTCTGAGAAGGCCGCGGCGCTCGAGGCATGCTCCAGAGCCGCCAGATCTCACAGATTCTTTCGATTTCTATTCTCACCCGATTTTGTCCTCGTCTTGGCCTCGTCCTAGGGGGGCGGTGTCGGTGTCGCCGCGGCCGCGGCACTCGCAGTCACTGCCGCCGCCGTCGTCGTCGCCATCGCAGCAGCCATTGTCACCGTCGTCGCCGCCGACGAAGCAGTCGCAGTTGCCTCCGCCGTCGCCGCCGTCGTCGCCATCGCAGCCGCCATTGTCGCCGTAGTCGCAGCCGTCGGCCCGGGCTGGGAGACTGGTTTCTCCCCACATCCAAAGTGGGGTTCTTGTTTTCCCTGGACCCCCCGCGCAGGAACACAGAGGAACACCCCCTCTCTTCTCACCCACTTACCCACCACATACACACTCACTCACACAGGCACGCACTCATATCAGCATCGCCGCCACATCGTCATCACTTACACATTCAATCACTCGTTCACACACTCATATTCACTCAGTATCATCGTTCCTTTACTCTCACACACACTCATTCACTACCTACCATCCACTCACTCACACACATATCATCGTCAGCATCACTATCATCGTTTAACCCCAGATCGTAAGTAGGGTTCTGGTTCCCCACGTCCTGAATGGGGTTCTGGCTTTTTCCCCGCAGACCCCCCGCGTAGGAACATACCCTCTCCTCTTCTCGAATCGCTCGCTCATTCATTCAACCACTCACGCACATCACCACTCACATTCACTTATTCACCCACCCACTCACCCATTCACACACTCACTCACACTCTCTTCATCATCACTCACTCACGCACTCACCCACTCACGCATCCACCTAGTCCACCTATTTACCCACTCACTCACCCACTCACTCACCCACTCACTCTCGCACTCATTCACCCAGTCATTCACTACCACCCACACACACACCGTCATCAGCAGCTTCATCATCATTACCATCACCCACTCACTCACTCACTCACTCACTCACTCACTCACTCACTCACTCACTCACTCGATCACTCACACCCACACTTGAGGAAATATCAGGCTGGAGCCTCGTTTGCGAATGAATTGCGAGGAAGTCTCAGGTGTGAGCCTCCTCACTATGGGGCCCACAGCTCATCTCGTTTTTAATCCGAGGCGGGTCATCAGAATCTTGCAGCTGTCGTCACGTTTGGGCTCCTGAGGCTTGAATCTGGGGGAAGTATCAGGCGAGAGCCTCGTCTGTGAGTGACTTGCGAGGAAGTCGTAGGCTGGAGCCCCCTTCCTATGGGCCCGCAGCTCATGTTGTTTTTTATCCGAGGCGGGTCATCGGAATCCCGTAACTGTCGTCACTTTTGGGCTCCTGGGGCCTGAATATGGGGGAAGTATCCGGCGACAGCCTCTTCTGTGAGGGAATTGCGGGAAGTCTCAGGCGGGAGCCCGCTCCCAATGGGGCCCGCAGCTTATGGTTTTAATCCGAAGCGGGCCACCAGAATCCAGTAATTGTCGTCATTGTTTGGCTTCCGAGGCCTGAATACGGAGGAAGAAATATCAGGCGAGAGCCTCGTCTGTGAGTGGATTGCGATGAAGTCTCAGGCGGGAGCCCCCTCCCTATGGAGCCCGCATCTCATGGTTTGAATCCGAGGCGGGTCATCGGAATTGTGTACTTGTCGGCATTGTTTGGCTCCTGAGGCGTGAGTATGGAGGAAATATCAGGCGAGAGCTCCGTCTGTGAGTGACTTTCGAGGAAGTCGCAGACGGGAGCCCCCTTCATATGGGACCCGCAGCTCAGGTTGTTTTTAATCCAAGACGGGTCATCGGAATCCCGTAACTGTCGTCATTTTTGGGCTCCTGGGGCTTGAATATGGGGGAAGTATCGGTGTAAGCCTTGTATGTGAGTGAATCGCGGGAAATCTCAGGCGGGAGCTCCCTCCCTATGGGGCCCGCACCTCCAGTGTTTCCTCTGTGTCGTCCTCCGGGTCGTCCTCTGGCGGGCGCTTCCTCTGGGTCGTCCTCCAACGCGCATCTCTTGGGACGCGCGTCGTGCGCTTCCCTTGGGCCGTGTTCCGCACGAGGGTGACGAGGAGGAGGAAGAGGAGGAAAACGAAGGAGGAAGGAGGATACAGGACGAGAAAGAGAAGGAGGACGAGGAGGAGGAGGAGGCAAAGGGCGAAAAGGACGAGGAGGACAAGGAGGAAGAGGAGTGCCTTAGGAGGCCCCAGGATGTCCCGGGAGGCCCAGAAGGCTCCAGGAGGCCCCAAGAGGCGCCAGTAGGAGGCAGGAGGCCTAAGAGGAGGCAGGAAGAGGGGGGAGATGAGGAGGGGGAGGAAGATGGAGATGAGGAGGAGTAGGCGGAGGAGGGAGAGGGAGAGGAGGAGACGGGAGACGGGAGGAGGAAGAGGAGGAGGAGGAGGAAGAGGAGGAGGAGGAGGAGGGAGAGGGAAACAGGAGGAGGAGGGCGCAGAAGGCAGGAGGAACAAGGGGAGTGGGGGGAGGAGGCATCACGAGGAGGAGGAAAAGGAGGAGGAGGTGGTGGAGGAGGCAAGAGGAGGAGGAGGAGGCAGGGGTTGAGGCAGGAGGAGGAGCAGGCAGGAGGAGCAGGATGAGGCAGGAGTAGGTGGGAGGAGGGAGGGGGCAGGAGGAGATCCCCAGACAAGCTAAACATATTCTCATGTGGGGTCTCATCGTCGGAGTAATTCGGAATCCCGAACAACCAGTGCTGGGAGACTGGCTTTGTGAACTCAACAAACCAGTCTCTTACAGTGACCCGCATAGTGAGGACGGGCGACCTTCCCAAGGGTATCCTTGCAGCCTTGCGTCCTCGGTCCATCCTCGGCCACTCTTGTTGACCGCGCCCCGCTCGAGAAGCTTCGAGATGGCCTTCCCAGGCCCTTGCATCCACATCGTGCGTCCTTATGATACGGGCTGACGGTACGGAGCGCTCATGTCTTTTTCGTGGGTACACCGCTACCGCCCCCATCCAGGCGGCACCTCTAGTTTCTGATTCGTGGCCGGAATTGGACACGACCAGGGAATTGGAAACGAAGAGCGCGCGTGCGCGTGCGCGTGCGTGTGTGTGCGTTTGCGTTTGCGTGTGCGTGTGTGTGTGTGTGTTGTGTTGTGCTGTGCTGTGCTGTGCTGTGTTGTGTTGTGTTGTGGTGTGTTGTGATGTGCTGTGCTGTGCTGTAGTGTGCTGTGCTGTGCTGTGTCGTGTTGTGTGTGAGTGTGTGTGTGTGTGAGTGTGAGTGTGAGTGTGAGTGTGAGTGTGAGTGTGTGTGTGTGTGAGTGTGTGTGTGTGTGTGCGTGTGTGTGTGTGTATCGACCCAGTCGCCGCCGTCGCCGTCGCCAACGCCGACGCCCTGGCCCGGGCCTCTGCCGCGGGGCTGGCGGGGGGGGCTCGGCGGGGGGTGCTCGGCGGGCGGGGAGCACACGGCCCTCTGCCCCCGGGGCGCGGGGGCGCCTGTGGGGGGCGTCGCGTCGGGCGGCGCCCAGACTGGGTCGAGTCGGGTCGAGTCGGGTCGGATCGGGTCGGGTCGGGTCGGGTCGGGTCGGGTCGGCTCGGGTCGAGTCGGGTCGGGTCGGGTCGGGTCGGGTCGGGTCGGGTCGGGTCGAGTCGGGTCGAGTCGGGTCGGGTCGGCTCGGGTCGAGTCGGGTCGAGGCGGGTCGAGTCGGGTCGGGCGGCGCCCCACAGCGGGGTTTTGGGTGGCGCACGCCCCGCGGCCGCGCGCGCCGCCTCCGCCTCCGTCGCCCAGTCCCTCCCGGCTCTCGCCTCTCCTGTCCTCCCTCCCTCCCCTCCTCCCGCCGCGCGCCTGGCCAGGGAGGGCGCGAGGGAGCCGCTCCCGGAACAGGGATGCCGTTCCCGCTCGTCCTCCTGCTGTTTGGGGTCTCTGCATGCCTGCGCCCGAGGCGGCCAGGCGGCCGCCCGAGTGAACCCGCGACGGTGTCAAGACGACGCTGTCCTGGGATTGCCCGGTGTGTGGGACTTTGGAACTTGCTCGCTGCGGGTGGCCCCCGTAGTGACACTGGATCCGCCATGGCCGCGGGTGGCAGAAGGAGGAGGAGGAGGAGGAGGAGCAGCAGCAGCAGGAGCAGCAGCAGCAGCAGCAGCAGCAGCAGCAGGAGCAGCGGGAGCAGGAGCAGGAGGAGAGGGAGGTCGCTTCTGCCGTCATGGTGGCGCCGCCAGAGGCCAGCTGGCGTGGAGGGCGATGAGCGAGCCTTCCGCTTCGCAGGCGGCAGAGTGGAGGAGGACCAGGAGGAGCCAGAGGAGGAGGAGGAGGAGGAGGAGGAGGAGGAGGAGCTTCGTCCGCTGGCCGCGCCCGCGCAGCTGATGGACGCCGACGGGGGCGACGCGCCACTGAACATCAGCTTCACCAAGGAAGCCCCGGCCACCTCCTCGCCCCGGGACGGGGGGCGATGATCAGGATGAGGAGGAGACGGAAGGAGGAGGAGGTGGAGGAGGATGAGGAGGAGTAAGACGAGAAGGAGGAGGAGGAAGAGGAGGAGGAGTGAAATGCGGAGGAGGAGGAGGAGGACGACAACAACGGAGTGAAAGGCTGAGGGAGAGGAGGAGGAGGAGGAGGAGGAGGAGGAGGAGGAGGTGGAGGAGGAGGAGGGGGAGGAGGAAAAGGAGGAGGAGGAGGAGGAGGAATTCGAGTAATGTGGAACCTGGGCGCCTCAACTCCGCTCGTGGGCACAGTTTCCGGTTGACACTACATCGGAGGGCACGGTGGCCTCAATGCGTGACAAAGCATGCCAAATTTTGCAGCAGCAGGAGGAGGAGGAGGAGGGAGGAGGCACGATGAGAGGAGCAGGAAAGACGGAGGGCAGAGGGTATAGCTGTGCTGTGGTGGATAGCCTGGAGGAAGGGGAGAAGGAGGAGAATAATGAAAAGGCAGACAATAAAGAAAGGAGAAGGCAGAAGAGGCATCATCTAAGGGAAGACGATTTGGATGAGGAGGGGGAGAGTTGAGACGGAACAGGAAGACGAAAGAATGGAGGTGGAGGAGGGAGGAGGTGGGCTGGGGGGGGAGGTGGGTGGGGGGCAGGGAGGGGGTTACTTATTTCAATGCTTGAGGCGGGGACTTTCTCGGGGGGGCGCTCCTGCTGACTCCGCCTCATCTTCCAGCTGCCTGCTCCCTTACTCTCATTGTGCCTCCTCGTCCTGGCTTGCTTTCTCCGTCATCCTGTTTTCTTTACCCTGCGCGTGCATAGAGCACGACCTGGTGTGAATATTCTTTTGATGCCTTTAACGGCGTCCTCTTCTTCCTGTCATCCTCCCTTCTTCCTTCTCATCTCTTCGGTCTGCCCCCCCCCCCTCCCGCTCCTTATGATCAACGCCCTCCGGTTCCAGCGATCGTTTATGTCGGGGCTCGGGCAAGCTAGACGCCTCCGATGCATCTTGCGTAGCCAGGGGGGGGGGGGGGGGGGCGAAGAAGCGCGCGCCTTTCTTGCCCCTTCTGGTCGGGGGAGGAGGAGGAGGGGGGGGGGAGGGAGGGGGAGGGGAGGGGTGAGGAGGAGGAGGAGGAGGAGGAGGAGGAGGAGGAGGAGGAGACGGGGGGGGGACAGGCTCATGCAGTGCCTAACTGAAGTCCAACAGAGCTCCCGCTGCCTCCCCTCCCTCCCTGCCCGGCTGCCTCGCCCCGCCCTCCTGGTCTGCCACACCCTTCCCCGCCCTCCCGTGCCGGCGAGCAGGTGGACCCCTTCACGTACGGGGCCATCAGCACGACCTTCGAAACCTGGGAGGGTCCGACGCAGCGGCCGTGGTACCAGATCCAGGCAGCAGGGCGGGAGGAAGGAGGGGGAGGGGGAGGGGGAGGGAGGGGGGAGAGGGAGAGAGAAGGAGAGAGAGAGAGAGAGAGAGATAGAGCGAGAGAGAGAAAGAATATACACGTATACGGATAGAGAACGAGAAAGGGAGCAGGAAGAGGCGGAGGATCAAGCAGGCACGAGAGGAGGGAGAGGGATGCTTAGGGAGGAGGAGGGGTAGAGGAGGAGTGTCAGCTAGGGGCGCTCGCGGCACATTTGGCAGCGCACCCTTCCCATCCGTCTTTTCTCGCTGTGTGGATTTCCATCTCTGCTCCTTGGCTCGGGTGCAAGATCGAACATTGATCCCTGAATGGCGCCTGCAGCTCTTGGCCCGCTATCGTTGTGCAACAAATGAGGCAGGGCAAGACAGGGGCAGGCAGCGTCAAGAGAAATTTGACATCTCTATATTGGCTTAGAGCGGGCTGCTTGTCGTGCAAATGTCAGAATGCAGCAGGCGACCAGATGTTTCTACTCGATCGCAAGCGCTGCTAGGTGTCTGCAAGACAGGTTGCAATTAAATGACACCTCGGACCAACTGGTCAGCGATGGGGTGAGGCTCATAGGACGAAAGGTGCATGGGCAAGGTCATCGACGCTGGCCAGTCTGATTTACGAGCGACCGGGAAAAGCGAGACTCTCAGAAGGGCGTCGTCACTCGCTCTGGCAAGTCCAAGTGCCGCTGGCAGCGCAACTGTTGCCACCTGGGCGAGCTCCTGGGAAGTCCAACTGGGTGCGCGCCCTGCGCGGATCTAACCCAGACCTCGCCCTCCATGGGGACTGCCAACCGCGCCCCAGCCGGCACGTTCGTGAGCGCACATCGGGCGCCCAGCGGAGTGACGCCCCACGCAGGTCCAGACGAGGCCTCGTCCTCCCTGGGCTCTGCCATCTGCATCACCGTCACCACTGTCGTGATCACCTGGGGGGGCCAGCGGAGTGAAGGCTTAAGCGATTCCAGCTTGCCCAGGCGGTGCCGTCTGAGCAGCCGTCGGCACCTCCGGGGATCTTGGGAGGTCCGGCGGAGTGACGCACTGAAGGAATCCAAGCCCGACCTCGCCTCCCTGGACGTTGCCAGCTGCGCGATTGCCGCCATTTTCCTGGGCCCCCCCTCGGGGGCCCAGCGGAGTGACGACCTACGCAGATCCAAACACGAGCTCGTCCTCTCTGGATGCTTCCACCTGGGCCGCTGTCGCCACTTTCGTGAGAACCTTGGGTGGCCAGCGGAGTGACGACTCGAAGTGCCTCGCCTCCCTGGGGGGTGCAATCTGCACGACTGTCGCCCCCTCCGTGGTTACTGGGTCCAGCGGGGTGACGCCTCGCAGGATCCAAGCGGTACCTCGCCTCCCTGGACGCTGCCGACTGCGCGATTGTCGCCACTTGCGTGAGCTACTGGGAGGTCCAGCGGGGTGCGGTCGTTCGCGGACTGAACCACGTGGTCTTGCCATGTGTTCTGGGTGGGTTTGACACGTCCTTGGGCAATTTACTACAGACTGCGTCGCTCCGCTCGTTTAACTTTCGCGCCGATGGGTGGTCGCGCCCTCTTCTTTCGAATTTCCCCCTCCCTTTCCAAGCGCATCCCTCTCTCGAAGTTCCTGGGCGGCACCCGTCACGCGTCACAGGCCGACATCGCCGAGCACTTCCCGGAGAGCCAGACAAGGAGGGCGTGGTCGCGGTTGTACGCCTTCGTGAACGGGGAGCTAGGCCTCCACTCAGCGAGGACGAGGAGGAGGAGGAGGAGGAGGAGGAGAAAGATGACGTCGAGACGACGAGGCGAGGAGGATAGGGGACGAGGAGAAGGAGGAGGAGGAGGAGGAGGACGACGACGGCAGTGACGATGAGGAGGAGAATGGAGGAGGAGGGGAGGGAGGAATGGAGGAGAAGGAGGAAGAGTAGCTGCGGGGGGCGTGACTGATGCTTGGTCTGTTCACCTCCTGGGGGGTCCTGCGCGAATGAGGCTATTTCCTTGAGTTGGCGGCCCGATGGCGTCTTCCAGCCTCGCACTCTGCAGATGGCAGCCAAGTCTCAGAGGCAGCGGCGGGCCGTCTGCTCCTTCTCCTTCCGCTTCCTCCTCCCCCCCCGTCCGTCCCCCCTCCCTCCTTCTCTTTCTTCCTCCTCCTCCTCTTATGGTATCAAGCGCCTGTATCCAACGTGTATCCACCACACCCTCCCTCTGAATGTCTCGTTCCCTCCCCCTCATCCCTTCTTTTCAGTTCCGTCGTTATCCACCTCCTCCTCGTCGTCTCCTCGCCCAGATTGGTTTCGTCTATTGGGGGACATCTTCTCTGCTTGATCCTGCGCGTGGTGTTAGTGGGACTTCCCGTGGCAGTGCGCATCTTCGTTTATCCGATACAACACGTTTCCGCGATGTGTATGCACAGTGTATGAAACCACTAGGGCGCGACCCCTTGGTATCCGGTACTCATAGAATCTAGAGACTAAGCGCGCGAGATCTCAAAGGGGTCGGCACGGATTGCTGCAAAATCGCTCAGTCGAGCCCGCAACAACAAACACATACGTAGCATTGCCACGAATGTACACATGATGGCACGAGGATCCAATGCCCCCTTGTCGCCACGGCCGCCTAAGCTCGATCGCTGGGATTTGAAGCGCGGCCCTGTCGGGCCCACTTCCGCACCATCACGTCATGGGCGTTCAGACCGATTATGAGTCCTTGTCGCCATTGCACATGATCCGTGCCATCATCATCTTAACTATCATCATCTGCATCGTCATCATCATCACCATCATCATGATCATCATCATTATCAGCTTCACCACCATCACCATCATCGTCATCATCATCACCACCACCAGTTCAAATTTGGGGCCGAGCGACAGCATGAGGGCATGCAGGCCGCCGATTGGTGACACACGTCCGAAGCACCCAAGATGCAACAATCCGTTGCCAAGTCATGTGGGCCTGATCATAGCGACAAGAATTGATTGTACTTTTCGCCTGTGCGCGACTGCTCCTTTGAAGCGGCTGCGGACAGCGGGGCCTAGTGATCATGCAGGCGCTCCGGAGTATTTTGGGAAGAAGCCAGAGGCTGCGTGGGACGTCGGTGACGTTTTTGTCATCGACACTCGTTGCATGGTGAATGAATCAATTGATTTGCAGAGTGGTGGCGTTGGTTGTGGTTTCGTTCCCCTCCTCAATGGCACGGGCCGCGAGAAAGTATCCATACATACTGGGGGTGTTTGCCCTACACTTCTTCTCGCCGTCCACAGGTTTCACTTGGAACGTGTTCTGTTCGAGTTACGGAAGAACGGAAGATATTGTCGACGTGTGCCAGAGTTGTTCAGGAGGCCGGTTTGGACCATGATTTGAACGCTTGACACATGTACTGGCCGCCAGATCTTGGTTTGGAGGTTTTGGAAGATATTGAAACTGCCTCTGGGCCTGTCGCCGAGAATGCCGGCGAAGAGGTCGACGAGTTCATAATTCACGCGTTCCCTTTGGCACATCTTCCCAAGCGGCCCGACAATCTCGCGGAGGCGTTGCTGTTTGCATTGACGAGGCGTCGGCGTCGGTAATTACGTTCATTCCACCGACGATGCCTTCGAGGATTACGGTTCAGAGGTGTCAGGTCAAGAGTGAATTGATGATTATGATGATGATGATGATGACGATGATGGTGATGACGATGATGATGATGATCCATTGGCGGTCCTTGCGGGAGAACCACAAGTGCGACAATCATGCGGTCTTTCTGTCTTACGACGTGCCGTCGCAGATCGGATGCGACTTGCTGGTGACGAGGGGAGTTCTGATACAACTACTTGTTTTCGCTGCCGGCGACCCTGGTCCTTTCAGAAAGATAGCATACGAAGTCCGCGCCAAGCCTTTGACAACAATGGGATTGGCTGGAACGAATGTGGAAGCGAAGATGTTTCGCCCAGCTCTTCGCGTAGCTCTTGCATCTGGTAATGCTTTTGATATTTACAGAGCAGCAGTGAGAGGTTGTGTCAGGGACCAAGGTGCGGAGAAAACTCTCGAGGCAGTTCCACACTTCTCAGTCTCGGGCTGTTGATTGATGTCACGGCGAAGGTGCAGACTGGGTAGCTGCGCTTGGTGGATTCCGAAGTCAATAATTTCTGCCTCTTTGGGCCCCCTTTGGGAGGTCTCTTGGAGGCCTCTGGGGTTGTCTTGCAGGCGCTTTGGGCTGTCTGGAGGTTATCTTTGGCGTCTGGGATCGCTCTGAGGCCGTCTCGGGCCATGTTGAGCTCGTTCTGAGGTCACTTGAAGCGCTCCTGGAACGCTCTTGGGAGCCTGCTGGGACCTGGCCGAGACCTGCGCGGGACCTGCCCGGGACTTTGCCGGGACCTTGGAGACTTGCCGCGACTTTGCCGGGATGCTTCTCGTCCGGGGACCCCCCAGGGCAGCCCCGCGCGCGCGAAGTAGAATCATGTTAACAGGTCACCGGAGATTCTAGCACGCCCTTGGCCCATTGGGCCAGCGAGTTTCAGTTAGATGTAAGATATGAACCCATGCTGGCCCAGTGGGGACCGTCTGCCGTGGGTGATGAAAGGGCTGGAGCAGATGGCGATTATGATCCCGGCTCAGTGATTGACGGGGTAACCAAAGCTTTGAGTTGCCAAGGACCGTTGTGCTTCATGAATATTGCGAAGGCCTTACGGCCGGTGCCGCCGACCCTGAATGTCGACGACGACGACGACGACGACGAGCGCTCTTGGGGGCCTTTTGGGGGTAGTTTGTGGGCCTCTTGGGAAGGTCTTAGGAGCCGCTTGGAAGCCTCGTTGGGGCCTCTTGGGGTTTCCTGGGGGTCTCTTGGAGGGGGCCTGAATCTTGGAGGCTTCTTGGACGGTCTTGGGGCTCTTGGGCGTTTTCGGCAGATCTTTGGGCGACTCGGGGCCCTCTTGGGCCGTTTCGGACCTCATTTGGAGTGTTTTCGAAGTTTCTAGGCCGCCCGAAGAAAAACGAATCTGCTCCCCCACCCCCCCCGGGACCCCCCCCGGGACCCCCCGCGGGACCCCCCCCCCCCTGGGACCCCCAGGGTTCAAAGGGAAGGGGCTTCCCTTCGACTCGATTACGACACTGTTAGATTTTTCTCTCGCTCACGAGCTTGAGAAGTAAGCTGCAGGGAAACGGGACGACGGAGGCGACGACCGACGGAGACGACGACTCGAACAGCCAAGCCCCTCGCACACGCCGACAGGGTCGGCGGATTTGCCTCATGAAAGGCAAAGCCTGCGGGAAGCTTGGGCGCTGGATCAGAGGATGCAAATGCCATGAGCCTTTGTTGATGGTGCTTGGCAGGGGTCGGCACAGAGACGATCGAATAGCTTCAGACTGCGGGTGCGCGCCCATAGACTGCATGACCGCTCGGGCCCCTCACTGCGATAATGGTACGACTGATGAGCATGATGACGTTCCATGGTGATGACGACGACGACGACGACGGTGTTGGTGATGATGATAGTGGTTGTGCTGATGAGGATGATGGCGATGATGATAACGATGCTCATCCAATTCCTTCTCCGTCTGCCGGTGCCAGTCCCTCCATTCCCCCCGTTTTTCCCTTGATCCTGGGCGCCCTTGCCCGTGCCCCTTCGCTCCATCCTTCCCCGTTCCACCGCCTTCCTGCGAACTCCTCCCCACTTCTTTCCACCCCGCTCCCATCCCATCTGTCCCCCTTCTTCGCACTTCTCCCCACTCCTCAAAACTGCTGCGCCGCCCTCTGCGCTTTCTTGTCATCCCGACTTCAGCCCGCTCCTGAAGTTGTCCCAGACATCTATCCTTTCTCTTCATTCCGCCCTGCTGCACTGCCATCCCGCTCCCACTCATGCCCGCCCCACGACCTTGTTGCCTCGTTGCCCTCGCACCCCCTGTCGCAGGGCTCACCCGCACATTCCCGGTCGCGTATTGCGGCAACTATTCTTGCTTCGAGGGCGTCGTGGCGTCAGACATCACGCTGCCGATTTTGAACGACATTTGCTGGGTGCCCAGATGGATAGGGCACGTTGTAGAGAGCGAGGGTGAGACGAAGAAAGAGGGAAGGATGATGACCAGATGAGGATCGGATGGTTATGACGACGTTGATTATGACGATGGGTAGAATTGGTGGTGTTGATGGTGATGGTGGTGATGGACATGGTGAGGGTGACTACGACAATGGTAACGATGATGAGTATGATGGTGATAGTGATGGTGATGATGGTGGTAGTGGACATGGTGATCATGATGTTGATGACGATAATAAGAATGGTGATAATGATGGTGGCAATGGTGGTAACGACGGTAATGATGATACCAATGGTGATGATGATGATGATGAAGATGCTGATCACTGTTATGATGTTGATGTTGATGATGATGATTTGGATGGCGACGATGACACTGACGATAATGGTGATGACGTTGTTGATGATGGTGATGAGATGATGAGTACAATGGTCATGGTGATAGTGATGGTGATGGTGATGGTGATGATGGTGGTTAGAGCAAGTGCGGTCATGATGGTGATGATGCTGAGTCTGATGGTGATAGTGATGAGTGTGAGGGTGGTAGCGGTGATCCTGATGTTGATCACGATGGTGATACTCATTATGATGATGATCATGGCCATGCTACTGATGCTGATGCCATCGATGGTGATAGTGATGGTGATTGTGATGATGATGATGATAACAATTCTGGTGATGATGATGGCTATGAAGATGGTGATGGTGGTGATTGTGATCAGGACAATTCTGGTGATGGTGAGGATGGTGATAGGTTATGATGTTGACGATATGTTCTGGATGATAATGGCGATGATGATTGTGATGATGGTGATGGCCATGGTGGTGATAATGTTGATGCTGCTGCTGCTGATGATGATGATGATGATTATTGTGATGCTGGTGATGATGGTGCGGCTGATGGTGGTGATGATGATGATGGTGATGATGATGATGATGATGATGATGATGATGATGATGATGATGATGATGATGGTGATGAGGGTGATGATGGTGATGATGATGATGAGGAGGAGGAGGAGGGAAGGAGGGAGGAGGAGGAAGAGGAGGATGCGGAGGAGGAGGAGGATCATGGAGCTGGAGACGGAGGAGCACGAGGAGGAGCAGCAGCGGGCGGTTCGCCGAGGCCACAACGCGCTGGACGAGCTGCGGGCGTCGACGTTCGCGAACTCCGTGCTCCTGACGACGGAGAACTCCGCGGTGTTCGTGGTGGAGCAGGCATCGGACGAGGAGGGCCCGAGAGGAGGAAGAGAGGCACCCCTACCGGTGCCTTTCCTTCGTTTCTGTCCCCCTTGCTGGCCCCCTTCTTTGGGGGCCTCCTCGAGGGCCCTCGTCACCGCCGCTGGATCCGCCTCGGCACTCCGCTCGGCACGCGCCCTGGGCGAGGCCCAGGGAGCAGCGGCACCGGTGCCTGCTGGCTTTTCCCCGAGGCTCCGGCGCGAAGAGGGGGAGGAGGAGAGAGGCGGAAGCGAAAGCAGGAGGAGGGGAAGCAGGAGGAGGAGGAGGGGGAGGAGAGAGAGGGGGAGGCGAGGAGGGGGAGGAGGAGAGAGGCGGGAGCGGGCCACCGCGGCCACGCGGGGTGGCCCCCGCAGCTCGGGCGATCGCAAACATGGCTTTTCCGCTGGACATCGCCGATTTCCGCCGCCGGGCAGGGCGGCGCCGGCCGCATTTTGGGGAGGGCGCCTCCCCCGATCCATGGATTTGGCGACCGCGCGCCAAATCCATGGATCGCTAATCTTAAGTCGGGCGTGTTCCCCTACAGGGGGAATATTCAAAAATAGTCTAACAATAGTCGGGCAACTACTTTGTTGCATTTCTTGAGTATTTCATATGTTTCGTCGAAAATCCCCCTGTAGGGGGGCACGTCCGACTTAACGCTAATCCATGTTTGCGCGCCCCCGAGCAGCGGGCCTCGCCTGCGGAGGATCGGGCGGCCGACGGATCCTCGGCCTCGGCGCGAGGGCGGCGGACGCGAAGCGAGGGCCGCTCCGCCAGCGACGGCCAGCGGAAGCAGGAGAAGGCATTTTGTTTTTGTCGGATCCTCCGTATTGTTTATTCGATCCCCATCCCCATCCCCATTCCTCGACTAGACGTAAGAGTGACCTGTCGCCGGAGTGACCTTTGGAGCGGCTAGCGCGCCTGGATTTGGCCTCTCCGCGACCCCCCAAGAGCCGCGCACCAAAGCTCACTCTTGTCCAGGGTCACTCTTACATGTAGCCGAATCCCCTTCGAGACCCCCACCAAATTACCACCCCAGTTGGGGATACACCCCTCGCAGCCCGGAGGGAACAGCCTATATCCCCATCCAGGGGGGTGAATCGGCAAGTGGGGCCCAGGCCACGCCGCTGGGTATGGGGATCGGTTAAACGATACTCAGATCCCTGATTTCTGGAGGCGGCCACATGGCGCGAGGTGGAGCCAATCGAGCTCAAGCCGCCTGTGGCCGCCAGCAGAGATTGCGAAAGGCGCGGTGCCACAGGCGCGGGAATCTCCCCTAATGGGGGGAGGGCTAAAGTGACCAATGGAGAGTGAGACTTGAGTGCAGCCGCGGAGCGTTAAGGAGCTTCGCCCCCAATTGCAGGAGTATTCCACGAGCGCACATATCAAATAAGTTTGCACTGGGGCGGCAAATCGTAAAAGAGCCTTGAGATGGCCTCCACATACTTTATCTCCTCTCCCCTTCGCGCCCCCCCTCCTCCCCTCCCCTTCTCTCCTCTCCCTTGCACACCCTTTCTCTCCTCTCCCCTTTCTCTCCTCTCGTCCTCCCTCCTCTTCCCACGTCTCCCTCCCCCCCTATCAGGTCCCCCCCCCTCTCCTTCATTTCCTGTATCGTCATCATCACCTTCCTCTCTTACCCTCCTCCTCCTCCTCCTCCTCCTCACCATCATCATCATCATCATCAGCATCATCATCATCAGCAGCATTATCATAATCAGCATAATCATCCTAATCATCACCATCCTAATCATCACCATCACCATCATCATCCTCATCCTCACCATCATCATCAGCAGCAGCATCGTCATCGTCATCATCGTCGTCATCAGCATCAGCATCATCATTGTCGTCACCATCATCGTCATCGTCATCATCACTGCTCCTCCTTTCTTGACGTTAGGCAAACATGAGGCGTGGCCTGTTGCGTTCTAATAGGGTCAACAAATCGCCTACCTAGGCAGAGTGAGCATTAAATTGCACCTGGCTGACGCAGTAGACAAGGTCAGGCAATGAGAACAGGCAAAGAAAGTTGGCCCTCAGGGGCACAGAGTATGCGCCAACCAGGCGGTGTGAGAGAAGGAGCGACCGATCCAGTCAAAGTTGAGTAACCTGAACCCAGGGAGGCACCAAACGAGGGAGAGGCGAAACACGCGTGCTCCTCCTCCTCCTCCTCCTCCTCTTCCTCCTCCTCCTCCTCCCCCTCCTCCTCCTTCTCCTCCTCCTCCTCCCCCTCCTCCTCCTCCTCCTCTCCTCCTCCTCCTCCTCCTCCTCCTCCTCCTCCTCCTCCTCCTCCTCCTCCTCCTCCTCCTCCTCCTCCTCTCCCTCCTCCTCCTCCTCCTCCTCCTCCTCCTCCTCCCCCTTCTCTCTCCCTTCCTGCCCCCCCCGGTGGTCCTCCTCCCCTCCCGCCTCCTCTCCCTTCCCCCCCCCGCCCGAAGCCCGAGGTACTGACCGGGGCACTGCCAAGGCCCCTCCGCCGACCGCCCCCGCCCGCTCGCCCAGCCCCCCCCCCGCCGGCAGGTGTCCAGGAGGTTTCCGGACCAGGAGCGCCCCCCCGCCACCGGCCCGCTCCCTCGCCGAGGGCCCAAGAGGCTGCGAGCGCAGAGGGATCGAATCCGCGCCGTGGGGGGGGGGAGCGAGAGGGAGAGCATGGGCTTGCTTTCCACCACCACCATCATAAGTTGGAGGGGGGAAGGAGGTTGAGGAGGAGGAGGAGGACGAAGAGGAGGAGGAGGAGGAGGAGGAGGAGGAGGAGGAGGAGGAGGACCTCTTCCCCCTCCTACTTATGGTGGTGTTGGTGGTGGACAGCAGGCCCACAAGGAGAAGGCCTTCTCAGAAGGCGGGGCGCGGCTTCTCAGAAGGCCTGTCGCCTGGAAAGGCGCAGAAAGCCTCTCGGAAGCGCCGAGCGCGTTCCACGGCTCGCAGAGTACCAGCTCGCCAACGTCCGAAAAGCACACGGTTGCCTCGATGTAGTGGCGAACCCAGCCCATCTGCGAGTAGCCCCTGCTGCGAGTCGTAGGTCGCGCTCCCAGACCCTTCTGTCGGTGCCCCCCGCCGGCCGTCGAGCTGCCAGGGGTCGTCAGAAGCGTGTCCTGGGAGCGAGCGCAGCAGCTCCTCCGCCTCCTCCTCCTCCTCCTCCTCCTCCTCCTCCTCCTCCTCCTCCTCCTCCTCCTCCTCCTCTCTCCTCCTCCTCCTCCTCCTCCTCCTCCTCCTTCTCCTCCTCCTCCTCCTCCTCCCTCATTTCGAGGGCGGGGCGAGCCGTGCCTCTCCTCCTCGTTGTCCTGCTTCCGCTCCTCCTGGTGTGCTGCGGATGCTGCTCGCCCCTTCCTCCTGCTCTTGCCCCGCTCGGCCCCCCTTCCCCCCAGGGGCAGGGGGCGGAGGAGGAGCAGGACGCGGAGCAAGAGGAGGCAGATGATCGAGGATGCCACCGCTGGTAGCGGTGATGGCGGTGGCGTGGCGTGGGCGGTGACGGTGGATGTGGTGGCTGCGTGTCCGGTGATTCTTTTTGAAACAAGCGGAGATGCAAGTCGAATGAAGTTCAAAGTTCGTACCGACATGACTGTTGGAGTGCGACATGCAAATCGAAAAGCCAGCCGAACATAATATCGAGCTGCCTTCGGATTGCAAATGCAGTTGGCAATAGAGAAGTAAGCAGACATGGCAATTCGGCTGCACCGAAGTTCCAGTCGATGGACAAGTCGACGTGCAAGGTCTCCCCCCCACGCCCACCTCCAAGTTCCTGATCACTCGAAGGATGGTCTATGATCTATGAGGTTTGTTCTCGTGCATGTTGCTGCGCTTGCACTGTGCACGCCCCCTTTCTGTTTCTCCATTGCCTTTGCAGCTGCTCTATCCCGTGAGCACTGGAGGCTCGGTCCGCGTGCCTTGCCTATTTACGACAGATTGATTTTGCACCAGCCTGACCTTGCGTGTCGTTTCTTTAACAGAGATCACTGGCCAATGCAATGTGACCGCTCGAATGGCTACTCACCAGACCGCTGGCGCTAAAATAATATATGTTTGCCTATGCCTGCGTCTGTGTCTGTGTCTGTGTCTGTGTCTGTGCGTCCGCTGCCTTCCTGTCGTCTGCACTGCCCTCGGGCCTGCCTTGCTCCCTCCACCTGGTCTGCCGCCGCTCGCCAAAATGTCTGTGTGTCCATGGTTTTGTGTTTCTATATATATATATATGTATGTGTGTGTGTGTCCTTGTGTCCGTGTGTCTCTGTGTGCGAGTGCGCGTGTGTGTATGTGTGCGCGTGCGCGCGTGTGGTAGGAACTCTTCCTCACCTCCGCGCAGCACCGCGGGTGGGGTCGTCCAGCAATATGAGCCTTCAGCCCGTCCACCCCCTGCCGAGGGAGGGCAGACACAGAAGGTGCTGGCGGGAGCAAAGACAAAGCATCGGCATGATCGCCAACATTTCCTCCTCAGCCCCTCTGTCCTCTCCTCCTTTCCCGCCCTGCCCCTACAGTGGAGGCCCATGCCAAGAAACACCATGCTTGCCTCCAGGGTGCCCTGGGTGTGTTTGGCTTCGATTGTTTTGCTCTGGAAGGCGCGACGCTCCCGCACCAACATCAATGGACGTCTTGAGGTCTCAGGGGTGGGTTTCTTGTGGAAGGTTTCTTGTGGTCGAGCCCCTACTGTACGGCAGCCCAGGAAGGGCTCCTGATCGCCGAGTCGTCCAGCACTGGCCGGGGCATCATCAACGCCGTGGACTCGGAGAACAGCGTCATCAGCAGGACGGCCAGAAGAGAGGAGGAGGAGGAGGAGGAGGAGGAGGAGGAGGAGGAGGAGGAGGAGGAGGGAGGAGGAGTGAGGAGGAGGAGGAGGAGGAGGAGGAGGAGGAGGAGGAGGAGGAGGAGGAGGAGGAGGAGGGAGGAGGAGAGAGGAGGAGAGGAGGAGGAGAGGAGGAGGAGGAGGAGGAGGAGGAGGAGGAGGAGGAGGAGGAGGGAGGAGGAGGAGGAGGAGGAGGAGGAGGAGAGGAGGAGGAGGAGGAGGCGCGGAGGAGGAGGAAGGGGAGGAGGGGGAGGAGGGAGAGGAGGAGAGGAGGAGGAGGAGGAGGAGGAGGAGGAGGGAGGAGGAGGAGGAGGAGGAGGAGGAGGAGGAGGAGGAGGAGGAGGAGGAGGAGGAGGAGGAGGAGGAGGAGGAGCGAGGAGGAGGAGGAGGAGGAGGAGGAGGAGGAGGAGCGGAGGAGGGAGGAGGAGGAGGAGGAGGAGGAGGAGGAAGGAGGAGGAAGAAGGAGGAGAAGAAGGAGGAGCAGGAGGAGAGAAGAAGAAGAAGAAGCAGGAGGAGCAGGAGGAGGAGGAGCTGCTCGCCGCCCTGGAGGAGGCCAGGTCGCCTCCTACCCGCTCCCCGCGTGGACGACCGCTCTTTGCGCTACGCGCCTCGCCTTGGACTCGGCCCCCTCGCGCTCGGATGGGCAACGATTCCCAAACGTCGGTGGGATTCGAGCGGGCGAAGGAGGAGCAGGAATAGTGAATAGTATTACTGTATTGCGACGAGGAGGAGGACGAGGAGGAGGAGGAGGAGGAGGAGGAGATTCGCAGAGCGACGAGGTCAGCAGGAAGACCACGCGGACGGAGGTGTGCGCAGGCAGCGAAAGGGGCTTGCAGTGGGTCGCTCATCTCAAGCCGCGGCCGCACCGAACGCTGCGAACATCTCCCCCAGGCCTTTTGGCATGGCGCTTCTTCGGAACGCGTTCCAGGTAGTCTGCCCAGCCTTCTTCCAGGAAGAAACGAAAGCAGCATAACTTCAAATTTTGGGAGGTCCGCGCGAGTTTCTCGGATCGGCGCTGGGCCCCCCTGGTGACGCTTCCAGCGCCGCCCTTAGCGCGCGGAGCGCGCCAGGGGGGCGGGTTCAGCGCAGATCCGAGAGATCCGCCCGGGCCTCTGAAGGCTTATGTTTATGCAGTTTGTTGCTCCTCTTCTAGTCGCATGCCAAGCCTCCCGCCCCGATGAGCCTGAGCGTGGCTGGCGGGCACGAGGCCGGCCCACCCCCCGCTGGCTGAAGATCCGACTTGGGGGCCGCTCGTTGGGAGCTGGCGCGGTGCCGGCCTGGCGTCGGCGGGGCGCGGGGTAAGGGGGCGGAGGAGGCAGGAGGGAGAGCAGGAGGGAGAGCAGGAGGGAGAGCAGGAGGGAGAGCAGGAGGAGGAGGAGGAGGAGGAGGAGGAAGAATATGACTCACAAGAATAATAATGAGAAGAAGGGTGAGAAGAAGAAGAAGAAGAAGACGCAGAAGAGGAACTGGGAGGCGAGAGAGGAGCAGGAGGACGGAGAGGTTGGTGTGAGGCAAAAGAGGAGGGGGAGGTAGAAGGCTACGAGGCCGCGCGAGTGCTCCAAACAGATACATCTCCACCACAGCCGCGGAGAAAAGGGGCAAAGGACGGCGAAAAGACATGGAACAAGGAGGAGGGGAAGACGGCTAGGAAGATGGAGGAGGAGGGGGGCAGCGGTGCTCCTGTTGAGTATAAAGCGCCTCGGGGCACACTTCGTGAGCGGTGGCGGTGTCTGGCTTGCCCTCCCAGGCGGTCCTCCCCAGGCCGTTGGCGGAGGAGCGTTTCAGCCTCTCGTTGGTCACAGTCTGCGAGTGGTATGGAACTTCGAAGCGCACCTACGCCGGTCATTAAGAAACCTCTCGTCTTCGCTATGGCCAATGGTCACAACAATGCTGCGGTTCCGATCGTTAAGGAACCTCTCGTCTTCGCCCAGACCCAGCGTTGCTTCGGCGGCCTCGGATAGACTGGCCCAGGTTCTCTGCCTACTGCAAATGCAAGCGGCAGAGTCAACGCGGCCAACTCAGCATTTGCTTAAGATGTAGATCGAGGGCTGGCTTGGATGTTTGCTCATCCTTGCCTTGGCTGTTGACAAGAACTGTCCAGGCCCAGGCAACAATGAGGCGACAGCGTCGCCGTGTACTGATACTTGCTGCAGAGGGAGTCCCTGGAAAAACAGGGGTTGCCAGCAGAGAATGTGAAGAGGAGAGAGAGGGGGAGGGAGGAGCGTGAGGACAGGAGGAAGTGACGGGCCCATGATAATGTTCAATCGTTTTTTCTGGCTGCCTTTCACAGAGGCCAGATCTCGAAAGCCCACGCTCCCTCGGCCTCTAACGCTTCTGCCCCTCGCACAGGTGCTCTCCCCCTCCTCCTGCCCCCCCACCCTCCTGACCCTTCCCCTCGTCTCCCGCTGCGCCCCCGCCCCAAGAGAGAGAGCTCCAGGACCTCGCGGGCCTTGCTGGACCGGTTCGGGAGCTGGAGCTCGCCTGAGCTGTTGCGGGAACTGAGGGGAGGCGGGGCTCTTCATCCTCCTCCTCATCATCATCCTCCTTCTCTTCCTCCTCCTCCTCTTCCTCCTCCTCCTCCTGGTCCGCCTCCTCCTCCTCCTTCCCCTCCTCTCCTCCTCGACCTCGTCCTCGACCTCCTCCTCCTCCTTCCCCTCCTCCATCCTCGACCTCATCATCCTCCTCCTCCATCAGCATCCTCCATCCTCCTCCTCCTCTCCTCGACCTCCTCCTCCTTCTCCTTCCTCCTCCTCCTCTTCCCCCTCCTCGCTTCAAACCTCCTCCTCCTCCTCTCCTCCTCCTCCTCAACACCTTCTTCTGCTTCTTCTTCTCATGGTTATTATTATTACTATTATTACTATTATTATTATTATTATTATCCTCCTCCTCCTCCTCCCCCTCCTCCTCCTCCTCCTTGTCCTCTTCCTCCGCGCATTCCATCTTTTTTCTCCTCCTCCTCCTCCATCCGGTCCCTCCTACTCCATCCATGTTCCCTGTAGATATCCGCCAGACGTGGCGGTAGAGCGGGCCAAGCGTGTTGCCTCAGATTGATTCGCAATGTATGCCCCTGACGGCCGAAGTTTGCAACAGTTGCACGCTTGGAGGGTGTATGGTTTCAACATGGATTCTCGTTTTTGTTCGGGGCAAATTCGTCAGGGGGGCGGCATTTGAAAAACGGGGCTCTCGTCTCAGCGCCGCGCGCATTCGCCTTAAACAGTTGCAGCAGTTGCAGGGATGAATGGGGTCGTTTCGAATATGTGGCTCTCGCTTGCACGCCGTGCACATTCGCTTGACGAACGAGCTTGCAGTAGTTACAAGGATGGAGCGTGGCTCATTTTCAACATCTAGGTGAGCGTTTTTTTCTCCTCCCCAGGGTGTCACTCGTTACCCGCCCCCCCCCCCCCCAGGGTCACGTTGACCATCGTACTGGGAGGGGTGCGGCCTGGACCACCCGCCATGCTACGGTACGCACGGGCTATGGATGCACGATGCACCGGTGGCGCTGGCGTACTCTGAAGGGGTGGCACGCCGCTGCGGCCGCCGTTCCCGAACCCCCCCTCCTCCCCTGGGTAGCGACACTCACCCGGGAAGGGAACAAAGCCAATGGGTCACCAGGACGGATGGAGGATCGGAGGCCCGGAGGTTGACACCAACACCAATCTCGGCGATATGCCTCCAGCGAGGGAAGATGATTCCGATCTCGGCGATGGTGGTAGTATTCGGGCTTCTCGGGTGGCCGGAAGATGACCAACACCATCATCGAGGGTCCTCTTTCCCCGGTGGAGGCAACCCGCTGTGCTGGTGTTGGTGCTCGTGTCCAGGCCTCCTATGACGAACGAACAACACACACCCATACCCATAGGGAGGTCGTTAGGAGGAGGACTGGCTATGGGTATGGGTGCGGGTTGCCGGACCCTGTGGAACGCTCCCGTTCGAGCCGGGACCCCCATCCGACAACACGCACCCATAGCCCTCTCCGATCCCCCTATGGGTATGGGTGTGTGTTGTTGGTTCGTCATCCTACAGGATGGAGGATGGAGGGCGTCGACCCCGCAAACTCGAGGAGACCCTCGCGGCAGGGGCCGCCTGGGCCCTGGCAGGCTTGCTCCCAGACGCGCGCGAGCGACCCGAGGGGGAGGCTAGAGGGCAAGGGGGTTCGTCACGGAAGGGGCTCGTCACTTGGCCGTCGCGTGTTTTTTAGGTTCTCGCAGGTGCCTTCTGCAATCCGTTCGGCTGCAGAGAACCAGGGGGGCCCACTCCTCCCCAGAACTCCAGCGTCCTCACGAAAAGAGCCTGGTGACCGGGCACTCCTCTGCCTCTGCGCCAGGAGACCTGCCTTAACCCCCCCCGGGGGCCTGCAGAGAGGCGGCCGGCAATAGCAAGTTCAATCATACGGGTGGGGTCAAAATCTCCAAATGACCTGCGACCTTAGCCATTTTGGCTCAAGTTTGGCTCAAGCTCGTTGTGTTTCACGGCGTGCGTAGTGTGTCTGTGTGTGCGGGTGTGGGTGTGGGTCTCGCTTTATTTCTTTTTTTTTTTCTCTCTCTCTCTCTCTTTCTCCCTCTCTCCCTCTCTGTGTCCGTGGGTGTGCGTGTGGCCAGACCTCCTCCACCGTACCAGCATGTCCAGCGCAACTGCATTCCACGTCGCACCGACGATCGACCTGCATGCTTCAGAACGCACACCGCCAAAGCCAAGGAGCAATATCACAGGTATGTCATCTCTCGGCCAACATCAGAAGCAGCGCGAAGGCCCTGCCATGTGCATCGTATACGATTCTTACGTGCACCGTATACGATTCGTACGTGGCGCGTTTGCGATTGTTAGGCGAAGTGCATGCGATTCCTATGCGAATTGTATACGGTTTCTTTTCGAATCAGATACGATTCAAATGCCAATCGTATACGAATTCGATGCAATCGAATGCGAACTCTCTTTGACCCGTTGACGGTTCCTTCGTGAGTAGGCGATTCCCATGTGAAGCGTCGACGCGTGTTTTGTTAATATCATGCGTCCCGTATGTGAACCGTATACCGTTCCAGTGTGTATCGTATACAGTCACGTGAACCGTACACAGATCCTACGAGTATCCTATCCAATTGTAATGCGAGCCGCGTGCGAATCCTATGTGAATCAGGTTCGAACCTTGTGTGGCGCGTATACGCTTCCGATGTGGGACGTATACGAATCTTATGTGGACGATAAGCGTTTGCTCTGTGAACTGTTCACGAGTCCTCCTATGTGAATAGTACGCGGTTCATGTGTGAAACGAATACGATTCCGATGTGAATTGTGCCCGATTCTTTTGCCACGCGTCTAAGAGGCCTCGCAGAAGCCCCTCGTGGGGCACCTCCCCAGTGGCCTCGCGGAAGCACTTCAGTGACACCTCCCAAGAGGCCTCGCAGGAGCCCCGAAGAGGATCTTCCCTGCAGGAGTCGAACAAGTACGTGTTCAGAAGTACGTCTTAAGAAGTCTTACGATCACCTCTAAAGAAGTACTTCGTAGGAAGAGTCTACAGTGCACTTGAGAGGTACTTCGTAAGGAGTACTACTTAGGATGTCCTTACCGTACGTCGACAAAATGTTGCACCACTTTTGCCGCACATTGTCAGCTATACTGCATTGCTCCTCCCCCCCATCCCCCTGATCTTAAAATATTGGGCACATGGCAAAGGTCCCTTGGCGCCCCCCCCAGGGCTCGCGACTGAATGTTGCACCACCGAGCCGTTTCGATGAAGCCGGGACCGCAGCCAATGTTAAGATTGGGGGGAGGGGGGGGGGGTGGAAGCGAACATCCATTGCGAAATCGGCTTGTTTTCTTGACAACACCAGGTGGTGCAATATTTTGTCGATGTACCGTATGAGTACTTGTGAAAAATACTGCTTCAGACATCTTCTGAACATTTACTTACTAAAAAGTCTTAAAAGTGCGTCTTAGCAAGTGACACTTCGGACGATTCTCAGCCAGGATTGGTACCGATTCGGCCGGGATCGGTCCTAAACAGGCCTGCTTTGGAACTCGTAAGCGGGGATTGCTCCCAATATCGGTGGGTCGGGCGGGCGGGACCTTAATGCTGGTCGGGGTCGGGCGGGCAGACCTTTCTGGCAGGGCGGGCGGGCAGGCCCTTACGGTTGGTTCGGGCGGGCTGTTCTTCACAGACGGGTCGGGTAGGCAGGCCCTCACGGCCATGTCGGGCGGGAGGGACGTGAAAGCGCGATGCATTGTGTTCGCCATGTTTTTGCACGTTGGTTGCAGCCTCCTTGTCTCTCGGCTTGCTGTCGAATGTTTCTGCGTACGGCGTCTCGGCGGCTGAGTGCCCTGGCCCGCATCACCTAGGCACGTTCGCTTCCTCTTCAGACCATGGCTCACTGCATGAGTTTGCCCATCGCGTTTTGGCTCGTGTGAGGTTGCCGGTGTGCCTGGCGACGCCTCGATTCGCACCGCGGGGTAGCCAATTTGCCCATCTCGTTGCTAAGGCTGGCGGGCAGCTTTCGTTGCGCTGTAGTTCAGTTGGGCGCGCGCAGCTTTGTGGCGGCACCCTTTTGCTTCCATGAGCAAGAAGCGCCATTCCTGTAGAAGTGTTGCGGAGGCGTCGGGCGAGACGTTCTTCTCAAGTAGTGTGCACGGATGTCTTGGGCGAGAGTGCAATTCCTGAGTTGCAAGAGCGCAGCTCCTGATTGAATTGCGAGGGGGTCCTGAGCGAGAGCAGGATTCCTGAGCGGTGAAATTGCGAAATTCGTGAGGGAGTCTTCAGCGAGAGCGCTAAAAAAATCACGGCCGGTAGGGGAGCAAGTCTAGTTATGTTGCATAAGTGAAAGTTCAACAGAGCAGAGATGGAATTCAGGAGGTAGTGAAGAGGAGGGAGGAATGATGAGGAAATGGACGGGAGGAGGAGGGAGGAAGAGGAGAGGAGGAGGAGGAGGAGGAGATACAGAGGGGAATCGCAGAACGGAGGACGAGGAGGAAGATGAGGAGGAGGAGGAGGAGGAGGAGGAGGAGGAGGAGGGGGAGGGGTCTCTCCTGTAAGAAGCTGAAGCGGGCCAAGTTTTCGACAGAACAACGCGTCAACGGACACGTCCTTCGGTCCCAGACTCTTTTTCGGTCCCCTCCTGCCTCGGAGCACCGTGGCGGTTCCCAGGTCTGTCCGTCCCCGCCCCTTCGGAGCAGGCGGCGGCGGCGGCGGACGGCCGCGAGGGGAGGAGCAGCACTTCACCTTCGACGGGAGCTTCGGCAGCTGCGGCGACGGGAGCGACTGCCTCCAGGCGGCGTGCCAGCGCGCCGCCGTGCCCCCCCTCCTCCAGCGGCAGGAGGACAGGCAGGAGGAGAGCGGGGGGGGGGGAGGAAGGACTCGAGCAGCGGCGTGGCGCCGTGGCCTGCCGCCACCCACCAAAAGCACCCCAGCTCAACCCGAAGGTCCAGATTTACTATCGACTTTCAGTGTGGGGGGGATCGGGGAACATCGAGAAACCACACGTGGAACCCGTACCCCCCCCCCCCAACCCGAAATTCGGATCTTCGGGTTGGGTTGGGGTGGTCTGGTAGGTAGTCAGCTTGCCCGGAGGCCCACCAAGAGTGTTCGGATAGTTGGCCGCAGTTGGCCTTGTTTGAGACGAGAACATCTATTTTACCAGTGGCGGGCTGTTTCTCAATCCCACGACTTTTTATGGGTCGGGGACTTCGCCGGGGTGGTTTAGTGTATATTTGTTTCCCATCTTCCCAGGGCAGCACCGACAAATGCATACACCAGGACCCCGCGTACACCAGGATCCGCTCTCTCTCCTGTGCAGATATCCAGTGCAGGGGCGGAAACAACGGCCGTGTACAGAGTTACGTTTAATGCTATGCTGGACTTCTGGATTGACCGTTGGAGCCATCAAGTTTTGCACACAGCACTGGCCCGATCAGTCAGATCCGTTTCGAGTGGGAACTCGCATCGGTGGACCCGTGCTGGCCCACGCCTTCGACAGACGGCAGGTCGATTTCGAGCGACCCGGCCTATCTTGGGTCGGAGGTTGCTCCCTGGAGGAAAAAAAAAAAAAGCTCGATTCCTACCAAGATCATGCCGTGGTGGGCCTTTATAGCGTGCCGGCGGGGCGGCCGCTGCCTTGCGGGACGGGAAAATGACCACAGCCACTGCTTCTTGTTTGCGCCGCCTTCCAGCCGGCCGAAAAAGAAGCAGTGGCTGTGGTCATCTCCCTGGTGCCAAGCTCCACGAAAAGGACCACGACCACTGCTTTGCTTCTGCGGGCTGGAAGGCGGCAACAGAAGAAAAGCAGTGGTGGTCGTTCTCACGCCCCGCACGCCTGCTCCACAGGGGGGCCCCCGCGGCGCCGCGCGTGCCTCCCGCGGCCGCCCCCCCCGGAGCGGGGGGCTCCGCGCGGGGCGCCCGCCCCTTCGCGCGCTGGCGGGGCTCCGCGCGGGGGCGCGGCCGCCGCGGGCGGGCGCGTGGCCGGCCCCCTCGGCGCCGTGGCCTCGCGCTGCGGCTGGAGTTAAATAAAACGACGCGAAGATCGGGACAAAATCGGATCGGGATAACTCGAAATCTCTGAGAATCGGCGGGTTTGGAGGATGTATTGGGCGCCGCGGCCGCTCCAGAGCGTTCCGGAACGCTCTGAGAGCGCTTCGGAACGCTCTGGAGCGATTCATCCCGATCCTAGCCCTGTTTTGGTTAAGTCGGGCGTGTCCCCCTACAGGGGGATTCTCGACGAAGAACAAAACATACCCCGAGAATGCCCCGAAATGGTCACAAGGTATTCGAAAGATAGTCCCCAGACTATTCTTTGGAATATGTTGGAGCATTTTTTGAGTAATTTTTAAGTGTCATCGAAAATCCTTCTGTAGGGGGACAGGCCCGACTCGCCGTGGCCTCGCGCTGCGGCTGGAGTCGCAAGCAGTGGCGGAGCGTCCTGGCTCGCCTATAGCCCTGCCAAACAGTGTGCTAAGAACCTCTTGTGGTTCCCACGAGATGTTCTTAGGACGTTTCTGGCGGAGCCTGTCCTGTTTTAACACATCGGGTTTATGTTCTAAGAAATTGTTTTTTATGTGCTTAGAACACGTTTGGGTTCTAGGAACATTTCGTGGTAGGACTAGAGGAATGCCGGGACGGTCGGTCCCTGCTCAAGAGTCAGGAGACCCACCGATCCGACGCTCCAGAAAAACTGCGGCGGCGAGAGTTTGGCAGTCTGGGGCCTCCGGGGGCCCTCGCCGGGCCTCGGGAGCGTCAAGGAGCGGGAGGAGAAACTGGACCCCGGGAAATGGTCCGAACTTCCGGGGTCCACGCATGGAAAAACTCGGGGCGGCCGGATGTCTGGAGAGGCTGAGTCCAGACGGAGGGAGTGCACACGCCGGCAGAGCGCTCCTTGCGGATTTACTCCGCGTGGGCGTAGCATCCTTTCAGCAGAGGCCGAGTCCAGACGGGGAGGGTCCGCGCGGGGACCGAGCGCCCCGTGCGGCCTCGAGTCCGCGTGACGCAGCGCATCTTACCAGGAGACACCGAGTCCAGACGGAGTAAGTCCACACGGAGACTGAGCACCTCTGTGCGGACTTCCTCCGTATGGGCTTGGCCTTTCTTGATGTCCGGCGTAGGCATCTGCACACCACCACCGTGCCAGGCCAGGGCCATCTTGGGCCCCAGGATGGTGTACAGGCCTTCCTAGCCTCGGCCTGGAGGGCGTACACACCATGCTAGGGCCAGGATGGCCCTGGCCTGGCACGGCGGTGGCGTGCAGATGCCTTCTGCACAAAGATGGAGGGATCAGATGATGATGATGATGATGATGATGATGATGATGATGATGATGATGATGATGATGATGATGATGATGATGATGATGATGATGACGATTCATGATGACGACGATGATGATGTTGATGGTGATGACGATGTTGCTGATGATGATGATGATGGTGATGGTGATGATGATGATACCGATGATGGTGATGATGATGATGGTGATGATGATGCTGATGCTGATGCTGATGATGATGATGCTGATGCTGATGCTGATGCTGACGATGACGATGACGATGACGATGACGATAATTACGATAATGATGATGACGACGATGCTGATGATGATGCTGATAATGCTGATGACGACGATGATGATGACGATGATGGTGATGATGATGATGACGATGCTGCTGATGATGATGATGATGATGGTGATGATGATGATGATTATGATGATAATGATGATGATAATGATTGATGATGATGATGATGATGATGATGATGATGATGATGATGATGATGCTGATGATGATGATGATGATGATGATGATGGTGATGGTGATGGTGATGGTGATGGTGATGGTGATGGTGATGGTGATGGTGATGGTGATGGTGATGGTGATGGTGATGATGATGGTGATGGTAATGATGATGATGATGATGATGATGATGATGATGATGATGATGATGATAGTGGTGGTGGTGGTGGTGGTGATGGTGGTGGTGGTGGTGGTGATGATGATGATGATGATGATGATGATGATGATGATGATGTTGACGATGGAGGGATCAGCTGATCTGGGCCTCAAGAGGTTGCCCGCGTCCTCCTCCTCCTCCGTCCTCGCCCCCCCGCGGGCCCCAGGGATTGCCCGAAGAGGCCCCCTGCCTCGGCCCCCCGGCGGAGCGCCCCCCTCCGGCCCGGCAGCCCCGCGCCGCCCAGCCGCCCACGATCTGTGGCCGGCCCGGAGAGGCGAGAGCGCGAAAGCCAGCCCAAAGCTCACTTCGGGGGCGGCCAGGAGGGGGGTGACGATGAGGGGGGGGTGGAGATCGTGGCGGGGGCCACGATACCTCCCCAGACTTCGTGGCGCCTCCCCTTATGTCAGTACGTCCCTGGCACATGCCGCCGGCCATGATGTGCGCCTCCCCCCTCTTGGGCGCCCCCCTCCTTGGCCGGCCCCGGTCAATGGAAATCAATGTCAAGCAGGGGCGAAGAGTCCCGGCGTGCCTATAGGCCAACCAAGCATTGTTCTAAGAACCTTTTGTGGTTTCCTCGAAATGTTCTTATAACACTGTAACACATCGGCTGATGTTCTAAGAACACTGTTTTTGTTCTAAGAACTGCTGGGCTCTACGAATAATTCGTGGTGGGCCGATAGGAATGCCGGGACGGTCGGTCTCTGCTCAACAATGGAAATCAATGATTGCGAATTCTTCCCCAGAGACCCGACGCTCCAAAAAAGATTGGCGCGGCGGGATTTGGAGCTATTTTCGGCCTCCAGGGGCCCTCGCCGGGTATTCGTTCCCCGGGGAGCACGATGACTGTACGACACCCAGATGCGGAAGAGGAAATGTCCTCCTCATCCCTCCCCTCGTCCATTCCTTATCCCCCCACCCCCTTCATGGCAGGTCAGCTCGAAAACATTAGCTCTGGACGACGACACGCAGTGGCTGGTGGTCGTCGTGACGCCGGTCGAGCTCTTCTCGACTATAGGCGGGCTTGTTTATGTATATGTGTGACATGGGGGAGGAGGGGGACCAGAGCAGACACGATGCACCGACGATGCCACAGCATTATGATGTTCCAACCTACTTTAGCCTTGATGACCAGATAGAGATTCGAGGACCAAGAAAGCACCGACATTGCAGGGTTTTCACGTGTCGGGCCCTGGGAGGCGATACTCGTTCGACACTGGGATGTGGGCAACATCATCATTTCTGGGATGTGGTCCTGAAGTGCGATGCGGGCAACATAAGACCAGAGCAGACACAAGATGCATCGACGATGCCGGAGCACAGCCCTCCATCCGTCTATACCGATGTTCAGAGGCACGTCCAGCGAGAGCCGCCGCATTTTGAAAAGGAACACCCTGCTCGTCTGTAGCAGAATGGCTGCGCGCATCTCGAGTAGACCCACCCACCCAGAGGGTGTACAGAGCGCGAGGTCCGCTCTAAAGTGATTCCCCCACCATGCAGTCCTGAAGTCATGAAGTTCTGAAGTGACCATCGGCTGGAAGCTGTGGAGGCAAGCGTATTCGCAGTGCTGACGCAAGGGCCGCCGACTGACACAAAGGCGCCTCCCGTGCTCGTGGATCGTTGCTGTCGTGGCGTGGAGGCTCGCGGCGCGAAAGCCGGGGGCCCGTCGTCCGCCCGTCCGGTCGTGGGAACCCCTCGAGCCTCCGGGCCAGCCGCTGTGAGCAGGGGGGCTTCCGGCGGCGACACGGATGGATTTCCCGACCGGCACGCCTGGCGTTTTGAGGAGGGGGAGGTTTTGAGGAGGAGGAGGAGGAAAAGGTTTTGTGGAGGAGGAGGAGGAGGAGGAGGAGGAGGAAGGAGGAGATGGGGTCGGAGGGTCGCGCCGCATCGCCGATGCATCGCCAGTGCGGCTCGACGTGGAGCCCGATTTGCTTCACGTCGACGTCGCCGGTGCATCGGCGGTGCGGCGCGATCCTCCGACCCCATCTACTCCGACCCCATATGGGAGGCCTCTAGAAGAGGAGGAAACATTAGGGGTGCGAGGAGATTTGTTTGCAAGGAAGGGGGCAGCAGGGATGTCTGACACCGTAGTATGTGCAATGCATCGCGGCGTCAGAGTTCTTGATGGGGATAGTTGTTCTCCCCAGGCTCTGCGTTGACTGCCACATTGCCCGAAAACATCACGACGTCGGGGGTTTGACAGAGAGCGGGAGGAGGACGAGGTCGAGGAGGAGGATGAAAACGAACCGCAAATTGGTTGTTGAACCGAAATGTAAGATTCCCTCTGTCCGTTCCCATTCCTCCTTCTTCATGTTCCCTCTTCTTCCTGTACGGCATCCTCCATCCGCCGCCGCCGCCTCCTTCCCCTCTCCTTCCGCAATGGCGGGGGCGGTGTTCCCTTTGGCGGGCGTATCTGGCCCAATATGCTGATAAGCAACGAGAGCGTGCCCCCATTTACGGCAGCGATTTTGATAATTTTGGTTGGCTGCTTTTCCTGAGCAAAATTCCTCATCACCGAAACTCAGCATTGTCAAACACTGTGAAGTAGTTGGTGCCAGGGAAGAGGAATGAGAAACTAAATATTGTTTCAGGACAGGCGGGGTCCCTAATGCACAACGGACAGGTTGCAAATGGTACGCAAGGAAGCCTCGATAACCCAGGGAATGCTTGAAGCAAGTTGAACGGAAACGTAAGGGAATACGGAGCAAGCCTAAGGATCTGCATGGAAACGTAGTTCTGGCGCGCGGCGCCCCAACTCATATCATTAAATGATGAGTCCTGGCGAACATGAAACATCTCGATGGCATCCCAATGGGTGAAAGCAAAGTCCAATGCGTAGAGACACTTACACTAACATAATAATGCATGCGGGTAAAGGGTACAGGACAACCACCGGAAATTCAGATCCCGAGTGACATTGACGGGGTAGAACAGCTCAAGCGCAACCGGCAGGCACATCAAGGAATCGTTGTGCAAGCACAGTCCCGACGAATTTACTGAAGCGCAGCAGAGCATGAAAGTATCAAAGAGAATATGAGCATACATATTGTGCCCTCTGGACAGGCAGTGAAGCTCCAGGACCCCTGAGGAAGATAAACAAGTCCAAAGGAACATGCAAGGGTGTGTTTACCAGCCTTGGCTTTAAGTGGGCGCTGTGTAATGCATTGCGGCGCACGTCCACTGTACATTCACAATGCCCGGGGACGATCGCTCATGCGGCCCAGGCACTTCCACTCGCAAATCATATCACGCTTAAGTCGGGCATGTCCCTCTACATTACAGGAGGAATATTCAAACATAGTCAAGCAAATAGTCTGGGGTCGATTGTTTGACTATTTGTTTGACTATTGGGGGGTATCTTTCGGGTATTTTGAACTTTTCGCCCAAAATCCGCCTGTAGGGGGACATGTCCGACCTAATACCACGCATTGCACATGCGTTCATCTAGCAAGCAAGCGCTGCAACAGCCCCTACCGGAGAATGGCGCGCCACACGCGCGCACGCATCGAAGGCACGAAGCAGACATAGTCCTCAAAGGGCACACGTCCCCATGATAGATTCACCGTCGAAGCCCGAGAGCACAATAAAGCAGCCGAAGTTCAGTGTACTGCGCAGTGCTGAGCTTGTGAAAGTAGGCGTAGGCAGCGAGCGATGGGCGCGTCGTGAGGGGCGCGGCGCGCGCAGCGAGCTGCCTACACGCAAAATCAGGCACTGATTGTAGCGCGGTGGACAGGAAGCAGGAAACAAGGCGGAGACGGTAGGGTTGTGCCATGTTGAGCCCCTCCTTGCGATGTCGGAGCAGGTTGGGAGTCTCTCGGAGGGGTTGGGCGGTCTCTGGAGGTTTCCTGGGAGGCTTCGTGGGAGCCTGTTGGAGGTTACCTTGGCGACTGCCTCGAGCTCCACGTCATATTTGGCCGCCTTGCGACAACCTTGGGGCCTCTTCTGGCCGTTTCGGGGTCGCCCTGGCGTTTGCCATCTGATCGTTGATCCCTTCTCTTGAGGTCTCTTGGAGTACCCTGGCGGAGCTCTTTTTGGTGTTCGGAGTTCTCTTGGAGCCCGTCTGTGATACATTCGGGGCTATCTTGCGTTGCAGAGGCGCGCAGGGAGCGAACGGGTGATAATGTTGATGTAGTCGAACAGCGATGGTTGCGTCGAGAGGGTTCGGTTTCCTGGGTTTAAAGGACTGTGGACTGTTCGAACGATGCCAGCTTCTGGTGGGGGCTCGTGTGGGCTGCCGCGGGCAATCCTGGGCCACCTCGGGGCTGCTTTTGGGCTGTACTTGGGGGCCTCCCGGGGCATGCCACCCGTGAGCGGATGCCCGCTGCTGCGCCGTCGCCGGGCCCTCTGGAGGCCCTCCGCGGCCTCTACAATTACACAATATGAAAATACTCTCCCACTTCCCCTGATGGCGTCCGGAAGATATTCGGCACCCCCCCGCGTACTGTTTTTTTACACACAGGATTCCCCGGAGTTGGGTTTTCGCTTGTGGTTTTTTCTAAAATGCTGCTCTCGCTGAGGCGCCGGCCTCATTTCTGCTCCCGAATCGTTCCGAATCGTGCTCCCGCTGCAGCGTGGGCCTCATTTTCGGATCGGTGTTTGGCCTCCGTCGTTGAGGATGGCGTTCTCGCCCCAGCGCGGGCCTCTTTCTCGCGCGCCCATCCGCCCGCCACCACCGCGCCGCACCACCACCACCACCACCACCACCCACCACCACCACCACCACCACCACCACCACCACCACCACCAGCACCAGCACCAGCACCAACACCACCACCACCACCCACACCACCACCACCACACCACCACCACCACCACCACCACACCACCACCACCACCACCACAACCACGCACACACGCACGCACGCACGCACGCGCACCACCACCCACTACGCACGCGCGCGCGGAGCCACAGGTCCGCTACGACACGCGTCCGCGGATAGAGAAAATCAGCGCCATGGTAAGGGATGGGAGGGAGGGGTAGGACGTCAGATATGACGCGAGCGCACCTAGCTTGTCCCCTCCTCCTCTTCCTCCTCCTCCTCCTCGTCCTCCTCCACCTCCCCCCCCCTCCTCCTCGAAGGGCTTGCAGTGGCTGCCCGAAAGGTCGTCAGGAGCAGGGAGGATCGCAACCTTCGCAAGAAGCTGGAGGCGCTCGACATCGCTTGTTCTTGGAATCGGCATGGCAACAACGTGAAGAGTTTGCAGTTTCTCGACGATTTGCACGCGAAGCTCATCCCGTACTCTCCCATTGCACCCGAGGGCATCGACAGCGATCCCATGGAGTTCGGTCTGACGTTCGAGGACGGCGACCCCGTCACCAGCACCGACAATGCGGACTGCGGCTCCCACGAGGACTACGGCAACGACGAGGGCAAGAGCTTCCACATGGACTACGGCAACGACGGGGACTACGGCAACGGCGAGGCATTGCCCTCCGTGCCGCTTTTCCCGCTTGTGCCAGACACCGTCGCGGAGTTCTACATCGGGAGCGATTTCAAGAACCAGGGGGCGCAGACCTTGGACACGATCGCGCCTGCGGCCTGCGCCATGGTGGTGTGCGGCAGCGCGGCGGAGGTCGTCAACCTCGGCATGCAGCAGGTATCCGATGACGTCCATGCTCGTCTCGAGGCCCTCGCCCGTGCTGCGGAATTTGTTCCTGCGCCCGTCTGCGTCCAGTACGTGCTCCCGCCGGAGTTCCGGCACGACGATGTCATGATGGGCGAGACCACGACGGCTGCGGATGAATATTTGGACGAGATGCGCGGTTTTCTCCAGGTGCTCCTGTATGAGTTCCAGTGCCTCGCGGGGCTCGCCGATCTCGACCCTGACCCTGGCCCGGAATACTTCGACCAGATGTTCTATGGAGGTGTCGTCCTAGGCTCCAGCGTGCTCGAAGATGAATCCGATATGAGCGACCTCGAGTAGTGCATAGGAAGGCTGGCCTCGCCTTGCTGCGTGGTGGTCGGTTTCAAAGCTTCCCTGAGGAGCGGCGGATTTCTCTTACCCCTTGGACGGGTT